CGTAGGGCACTAATACACTGGTCAGCAAAATTAACGCACCATTCACTTATTTCTATTTCAATGAGGTTGGAATTGAAACTATGGATTGGCTGGCAAACAGTTCTGATTTCAACCCAATTGAGGGTGTCTGAGACATGATCTAGAGCCATTTTCAGGAGCTTCCTAACTCCCCTAACACTTTGAATGGGCTTACTGGAGATATTGTTCAAGTATGGAATAATTTGGATTAAAACGAGATAAGGCCCGTAATTTTAGCATGAAAAATCACTGCCGTGTTATTATTCAAAAAAGAGAAGGAAATACCGATTATTAATTATTTTTAACTAAAGTTAAAAAAATATATAATTTTGAATTTTTTTGTTTTTTTCTTTTCTTACCTTCTTTTGGAATTTTATCTTTTGTTAATACCCTTATTAAATTAGAATAGGAATATATTTAATCAAGACATAAAAATATTTGATCAATATTATGAAATAAAAAATATTTTTCAAAAATAGTAGTGGTGCGTTAATTTTGCTGGCCAGTGTATATATTTATACATTACTACATTAACTACCGGGTTAAAAATAGACATTTTTATCTTTGAACTTATCATTACAAAGTTTGTGAGTAATTGGAAATAGTGGAAGACTAATAATAATTATTTAATAATTTTGAATAATCAATAATTTCCTGAATTGTATCGATCCTTCTGGGAGATTAAACATGTACCTTGAAATTTAGTTCCTTACTATTATTTCTCACTTACCTTTTTATCATTTCTGGCTAAAAATTTCAGATATACTCCAGGTAAGCAAAGCCGTGACTCCATTTAGGTAAGGATTATTTTTTTTTTTACTTTCAACTGTTCACTTTAGTATTGATTTTAATTATGGAATTCCATCCGCATTATTATTTTTGTTCCTTTTTTGGTAAAGTTCTCTTTTTATAGTTATTTATGTATCAAGGGAATTATGAGGGTGTTAATACCCCAGGGCAAAGTTTGTGTCCATCGGGCCGAAGGCCCGAGGGACACCAACCGAATAAACCAAAATTTCTATTTTTGTCAAAGTTTCACCCATTTAAGGTAAAAGCGGGAGTTATGAAAATCCTTAACTCCCTTGGGAGTTATGATATCCTTAACTCCCGCGCGAGAGTTATGAAAATCCTTAACTCCCTTGGGAGTTAAGACCCTGTTTATGATTATCGTAACCAAGGTATTATATGGTTATAATAATTCAGTAAGAAATAAAATATTTTATGTACGAACGGGCGTAAAAGTGCACTTTTACGCCCGCATTTTGAAGCGTGAAGTAGTACTTTTACGCCCTAGGGCGCCTTTTATGCCCGCGGGCCTGAAACTACTAAAATTTCAAAAATAACCAAAAATTCAACGTAGTTTTTTTTAAACTGTTTGCATTTCTATTGCTTAGTCCAAAAAATACCAACAAAAAATACCAACTTTGTTCAACAAAACAAGCTTTATTTCAATTAATAAGAATAATGAAATAAGCAATAATAATAAAATTCAATCTACTTTCAAATTAAAAATAAAATTTTTACAGTTTTCAACTTTTATAATCGACCTTTTTCCACAGAAAAACACAAAAGAACTGTTGTCTTCAACATTGAGTAACATCTCCATAGGGCGGATGGCTTATTTGTTTGCATTTTTCATCAATGTAGAGAGTTGCTTCTACAAAGTACTGCTGCTCATTAACACCATGTGGGGCACACCAGGAAATAAAGTCCTTATATGTTTTTTTCATAGAGTCGTTTGGACTTAATAGATCTTCCTTGGCCTCTTCAACTGCCTCAAGAATAAACTTGGGCAGGCTATTTTGTCCCATTTTCAGACGCCGGACAACACATCATAAAAATGCTATTGCTATAAACTACACAGAGTAAATTAATTATTTGTTTGTATTGTTCTGGGTTGCTATAATAGTTACGTGACACTTTTGTCAACAACTGCTTTCTTGATCTAAATTTGACAAAAACTTACGACCTATTACGTTAAAGATGAAAATTTATATTTTAAAATATTTTTGATTGATGTCATTTCAGAATTAAAAATATATAATTTTTAAATATCAAAATGAAAACATACTCATCGTACATAAAATCTTGTATGCACCTCGGTCAAAAAGAGCTTTAACGCCCTCAGCGTATAAACAGCCCTCGGCTGACACACGCTGCGGGCGTTAAAGCTGTACTTTTTGACCTAGGTGCATAAATAACTATTATTCACCTCTGGCTTTACGAATTATTGAACTTCAGTAGTTTATAAGTTTTTCAGATAATCGAAGGATTGGAGAAGGTTCGCTACTTCCTGTCGTTTATTATAACAAAGTGTTCAGTTTAACAGTACCATGTATTCTTTAAGAATTTACCCCCAGTCAGGTCCAGTCAGAAAAGGAAAAAAAGTGGTGGGAGTGGGGGCTACCATATTAACTTAGCCCCCCCCCCCCTTGAAATCGATATAGTCTCTAAAGCGTAATGGAGCAAAATTAGAAATTTATGGAACAAAATGGAGCAAAATAAGAGCCAAATTATAAATAACTTTTTATCTAAAAATTTTTAGTAGGGAGGGGCTAAGTTAATCGACCTCAATTTAAGCCCAAAGAATTCTAAACTTATTTATAAGGCGTTACGTTTTCCTCCTATTTTACTTTTTTACAGGCATCATTTTTCTTAGCCTCATCATTTCAAATAAAATATCTTTTACTTTATGCAGGCATATAATTAAAAAGTTTCTTTTATGTGGTTCATCGTCATGGAAAAAAATACCAACATCTCATCAATATAAGATTTTTTGATTCTAGTTGAAGCTTGTATGAAAAAATGAAAAAACTTTGCTTTCAAAACCTATAATAATAGTCTAGCTGTTCTCGTTCTCATTCGAATAATTACGGTGGATGTTTTCAGGTAAGACAAGAAAAAAAAAACAAATAAAAAAATGTTTGTGCGTGAAGTAACGCACGATAAAACTGAAACTTCTGATATGATGATATAAAATGATTGAGCAAAACTATTGAAGTGTAATATAGTAAAATATATTGAATTGACGAAAAGATGTTTTGAGGAATAGACAACACTAGCAGCGTTACAAAAATTCCATAGCATCTCCGCGTCATTAGACACTTGAAGCAGACCCAAAACGCATCGACTTCACGTTGACCGCCTCAAACTCCTCTTAAGCATGACCTTACATTACGTAATACGAAAACGATCGTATCCTTGGATGAAACACAAAACTTCAAAAAGTGTTGTGACGATTTTGTAGCTGCGTTTGTAGGTTTTCTTTTATTATCTATAAGTACTGTGTACTGTGTTTATTTTATTAGAGTTTTTTTAGTGATAACTGACAGGGAGATCACTCAATAGTGTCAAATGGTTGAGATACGTTTTCGGATACGGATACGACCTGCTCCAAGTACTGTGTTTATTTTGTTCAAGTTGTTTCAGTGAAAATTAACAGGAAGATCTCTCAATAGTTTCAAATGGTTGGGATACGTTTTCGGATAAGCATATGAGGCTAGTCCCGTAACGATGCAAACAACGAAACGAAACGTAACCACCGTATTTAATCTGCACATGCGCAAATCGTTTGCGGATATGTCTGATATTTAGGACCTGCTTGAAGTGTCTATTCCTCGGCTCGAAAGTTGCCTCCCTCTCAGCATAGAAGTTTCACTTCAAAAACTTGATTCCTTTAGAATATTTCTATAACGAAGACAGTGACAATATCACCAGCTATTCTAAATGGAGATTGCTGAATTTATAGCAATCGCTCTACTCATCCCAATCTAAACGACAAAAAATGCGATGAACTAATAAGTATTTTAAATTAGATCTTCAATAATTAAAATACGCAGAATATTTTGCTGTTTTATTTCAACGATTTACTATTTGAAAAAAAAAAAAAAAAACAATTTCCACAACTTTCGTCAATGACTGCATATAAGTATGTATACTGGCATATTTTGTAATCACATTTGGTTTGCGTAACACAATTTCTATAACAACCCATAAATCCCCATCGAAATTTTCATGTTTTCAGAATAAATTAATGAATAATAAAGTGTATGTGATATATCGCATAATTATGTGAGTGCAAACAAATCAAATTCTTGAAAGGTTTGAGCTTAGACGGATCAATATTTACTCAACAAAGTAACTAGTTTGCCGCGGTGAACTCGCTTTCTGTTTATCACTTACCTGGTGGTATTTGGGAAATATTGATTTTGTATTTAGCTTGAACTAGAGTTTTATAATTATTTAGTGTCATGCTTACATAATATTTTCCATTTAAATTTTAAATTGCTTGTTAGTGCCTGTAATTATGTCTAAAACGTGCACGGTTTTATTCCATTCGACCGAAAAAAAATAGTTTGCTCTTAATATCAACCGTTTTTTGCTGCCAAGGTCTTGAAATATTGACAGAATGTTCAAATTGAAGAATTTAATAGAAAAACTTATACAGGTACCTATAACAAAAAAGTTCCCGCGCTATTCAAAAAAAGGCCTGCCATCTTGATTTTTTTCTAAATGTTACATTTCTACTTTGCAGTAAAAGATACCTATTCCACCAATTCATTTCTCTTTTAAACACGCTAAAATTAAAGAAAATCGGTCAACAAAAAAAAAAAAAATTACAAGTCAGACACAACATTCCGGGTTAATTGGACCACCCTATGTATATTACCAATTGCATTCAAAAGATAGTTTACAGATGCCTCGGTCAAAATAAAATGTACCAAGGTATTTCAATTATATTATTTTTTATTTTTTGATGCATCCAATCTCATTAAAGTGTGAGAACTCGTATGTGATCTAGGGCTCTATATTTTCAATAAATAATTAAATAGCTAAGGGCAAATATCTGGTGATATTTGTTCGATATCCAACTATCGCGAGGTATTTCATTAATGGTTATTGGGAACAAGGGAAAAGAAAAAACATTTAAACCATATAATAACCACCTTCTCATAATTTTTAAAAAATTTGCTTTTTTTCAGGTTCACGACTTCTAAGTCAGAAATCGGCCTCCGGAAGCATTGGTAGAAGGGAAATTATAGAAAACCTATTGTTCCGATAACATTCAACTTTAAAAATAAGCATTGCAATATTGTATTGAAAAACTGTAATAATAAAAAACGTGAGTGCTAGTGTGTTTGAAAACATGTATGTTGAGTGACAAGAGATGGAATATTTTTTGATCAAGATTTTGTGCTATTTTATTTTGGCAGAACTATCAGAAGGTAAGCTGTGCTATATTTGGCTTCATTATTTTAAGTTGATTTTAACACAGTGTGACTATTTTTTTAATAGTTTTATAATGATTTGCAACCAACAAGTTAACTAGGAAAATTAGTCCAATCAAAATCAAATAGGTCTTTGACATAAAACCTAGATGTTATCAATTTCGATTTGACCATAATATATAGACAACGTATCTACTAGAATGCACACGATGCAATGTATACAATACCTGCATTGTGCCCTATTAAATTGATAAAGCTAATTATACTAATTACTATTACATCCAGTTTCAATCAAGTCGAGAATTACATATTCATATGACAGATATTCTATATCGGCTAATTTACCAATTGTTGGAAACGTTGATAAATTGATTTTTGATAAAATTAATAATTCGAGTTACCCGATGACATTGTTGTCTAGTTCTTGTAATTGAGAATCGACCTTCAGCTTGTACAATTTCTCAGTAATTGTAATTACCTTTATTTTCATGATGTATTGTGAATTATTATGTATGAGGTCCTACAAATACCTAACATCGATACTATGGGATTTTCTGATTTATTTTGATCATTTTCAATGAAAAAAATAGTGATTTTTGCCAGAAAATTGAACAATGAGTTTTCTTGTTTCTAATACCTACCTGATATTTTTTGACGAATATTTGAAAGATAGAGAAAATTTTAATTTTTAAGATCTAAAAAAATTAACTTCATTTAATTATTAAGTAATTATGCAGTTTTAGTCACATGGCAATGTTCGGTTTCTAAGATTCATGATTTGTCAGTTACCTACTCGAAGTATTGAAAACGTGCGCATTTTGTTTTGAAAATAAAATGTTTACTAACTTCGAATATGCAGAGATGTTAGATGTAACTTATTTACGGATAATCTTTATAAAACGCTCATTTAGACGCCAGAATTTACAGGCAAAATTTCTTAATAGGACGGCACCTAATGAAAGAACATTAGTGTCCGCTTTGCAAAGATTGCGTGATGCGGGAAGTGTAAGTGTGCAAAATGTTAATCAGGGACCTGCAGAACAAATTACACCTGACGATAAAGAACAGATTTTAGCGATAGTGGAAGAAAGCCCTGGAATATGCACCCGATTCTTTGCACGACAAGTTAGATATTCCCACTCAATAGTTCATCGGACCCTTCGACAAAATTTGCTTTATCCGTATCATGTACAGCATGTACATACAGGCATTGTCTCTTGGAGATTCTCCAGACAGAGGTAGTTTTTATGAATGGTTTCGCCAAGAGATCCGAAAATATCCGAATTTTGTACAATCTGTATACTATCTACTAACGAGTGTTGTTTTACAAGAGATGGCATCTTAAATTTTCACAATACTCACACCTGGGCACAAGAAAATCCACATAGCATTCAACAAAGATTTTCGATAAATATTTAGACATGAATTCTTAGAAACAGATTGGTTGGACCTTTTGAACTTCCACCACGATCAAATAGCGTGATACATCGAACTTTTCTACGTGATACTTTGTCCCCATTATTGGAAACTATCCCCTTAGAACAGCGGGCTAACATGTGGTCTTTTCATGACGGCATCCTTGCTCACATTGAAGGAACTGTTGTCCAACTTCTAAGCGATACATGCGATTGCTGGATACGGCGTAATGCGTCAGAGCCTCTAAAATAGCTTGCTGGATCACCAGATCTAAGTCCCCTTGATTTACATTTTTGAGGTCACATAGTTTACAATGGACGTGAAATTCAAGGTAAAGAAGACCTCCAAAATAGTATTTTCGCTGCAGCAGACCAAATTCGGCAACAACCAAACCATTTTCAATCAGTTTGTAAAAATTGGATTCGTCGTTGTCGAGTATGGTGCGCAGTTTGAGAATTTACTCTAGTTTTTTATTGGGAACTTTCTGCGCAGTGTATTCTGTCTTTAATTCTGGTGATTTTAGTGTTTTAAATAACTTGTAACAAAAATTTTTATTCTCATAATCAGGATTTGGCCAGTAGCTGAGTAAGTATTCTTTAATTTTTCTCTCGATAGTCAGGTTATTACGTCTATGTGTTTCTCAAAAAATTTTACGAGGGCAGGGTGATTTTCTCAGAGCTGATTGGAGACTGCGTCTCGAGTATTTTACCGAAAAATCACACTCGAAAGCCTTGTGCTATTTTAGTTGAGGCCAGTGGCGTAGCAAGGTCCCCCCCCAAAAAAAATAATAATAATAATAATAATTTTGTGGAGCGTCAGGTTGGGAGTGTCGGACCTTCCCCAAAGTCAAGTGATTTTTGTCCAACAAATTTGATGTGATGTCGTTAATGTAATATAGAAAACAGCCGATTGGAATTAAAACTACACGTATTGTCCGTCGTTTTCAATCTGACACTTTCCGTAAGAGGACTGAGGAGCGAGGGGGTGAAGCATAAGGCAAAAACAGGTGTGACGTCAGGTGATCATTGGCGTTCTAACGTAGAGAGCCACCTCACATTCCTTTGGAGTATCAGATTGAAAACAACGAACTGTACATGTATCACCTTCCTTAGGGACGTCAGAACGACAACTTTACGAAGAGCCAGCGGGAAAATATTCCAACGCTAAGGTTGAAGATATGAAAAAAATTGTCCGAGTTGGTTTTATGAAGCCGCTCAAGGGACCTTATTGGAGCAGCGTTCTCAGGAGAACGAGTGTTCCTCATTTCTCAATGATATGTAACTGATAGTATAAGTAACAAAAGACGGAACACTCGTTCTCCTGGGAACGCTGCTCCCCTACTGTTTCAAGAATAAGGACCCATGAAGTTTGACGTGTACATGACTTAAATAATAAAATACCTCAATCAAATACGTTGCGTCGATGTCAGAAACAAAATTGAACTTGTTCGACCGTTTGTACAATGCGGCCATGCGCCGTTGGGAGTAGGGCGCTTTCGGCCCTACGCGGTCGCGTGACGTGTTGCCGACCGAGAGCCGAGAAGATGGCATGGAATGCAAAGCGGTAACGCAATAAGCTTATTTCATATACTTGCGATTCGCGCATTGCGGAAGGCGAATAATGATCCTGTTGGTCGATTTTAAATGTCAAGCGGTGGGAAGCCAAATCAACCAATAGGAACATTATTCGCTTTCCACAATTCGCGATTCGCAAGTATATGAACTAAGCTTTATTGAGGAATTTTTGCAGATTTTTTTGATTTTAAGAAAGGAGCCCTGCGGGGCCCCCCATGTTCCGGGGCTTTGCGCTTCCCCGCTCATCGATAGCTACGCCACTGGTTGAGGCGTTGCGCTGCGACCATTTTGGTGCTTCAAAATTGGGAAAAAAATAAATAGCAAACCTGCAGATTATTGTACTCGGTCTGTTCCTTATAATTAGTGCGGCCTCTACAACTAAAAAAAATGAGTTTTACCTCTAATATCTTTTGTACTTTCAAAACGGGCAAATGACAGGTGGCAACTGACATAATGGCGAACACTTGTATTTTTTTCAAATGGAACACCCTATATATTTTTTACTAGAATGATTGATTTTTTTCCTTTTGATTGCAAATTCAAAATCATTGCATACTATTATCTTTCAAATATTCGTGAAAAAATTTCAAAAATTCAAAGATCTTTTTCTTAATAATGCTTCAGTGTACTACAAACTTTTTTGTTCAAAATGGGGCCATATTCCGGGTTTGTTTAAACTTTTGTAGTCAAACCTGAACCTGATACAAGGTGTCTACAAATAATTATTGGATGTAGATTGTTTTGAGAAGAGATTCAAAGTCACCTATACAGGGTGTCAAAATCTTTGAAAATAAATTTTCTAGCTGAAAACAGTCGGACACGTGAAACTTAATATTGATGGTAGGTACATGTTATGACATATAGCTGCGTAAGGTAATTTTTTTCTCTACATAAGCCTGTTTTTGTTTTTTCTTTTTATCGATTCGTTCTCAAGAAATTTAAAAAAAAATTAAAATGGATTAACGTGGCAGGACAACTGCCATAACCTTCTTTCTGTTCTAAATAGTTCGGTATCGGTTTTTGTTGAATTGGATAAAATAACAGAAGTACATACTCAATCTAATCTAGATCTTTCGGTAGTGAGATATTAGTGATAACCATGGTTTACACACAATGAAGTAGTAAGATGGTTGGAATAGCCCTTTGCCTATCAACTCAATACATATATTTGCGGCCAACATTGGAGTGAGAGACATGGGAGATCCAATATATCTCTTGCCCTTACTAGCGCTATCTTATTCTGAAAACAATCGAATGACGCAAAGCTCATTCCATACCTTCTTTCTACTTCATTGTTTACACACTGTAAGAAAGAACTAATTGAGTTGGTGGGTCTTTATTATCAATACAATAATAATTATTGTGCTAGAGCAGCGGCAGCCCTTGCTTGCAACGATAATCATCCGGATAAACGGGTATGTTTTGGATCTGATAAGGAAGTTTCAACAAACAGGGTCAGATGGCAAAACAAAAAAGGAAGCTCGGCGCCCAATGGCCTGCTAGATCTCCCGATCTTTGTATGCCACAAAGCCTGACTCCCTTGAAAATCGAAATAGAATTGTTATCGATCATCCATATTTCTCAAGAACGAATCGATGATGATAAAAAATAAAGAGGGTCATGTAGAGAATAAAATTATCCTTTAATCAAGCTACCCTATAAGTTAAAAAGAGCATTTGCTTTTTCTCGCAAAATCTGATGCAAATTCTTCATTCAGTATGAATAAAAGTTCAAGCAAAATATCTCACTTGAAAGTCGGAAGCAAATGCCCCAGGAAAAAGCAATAAAATAGAGTATTTTTTCTTCATATTTGAAGCATTCACTCCTTGAAAAATGCATCTGCTCCAAAGTAGATGTATGTGTACTATTCTGGTAAATCCTCGGGTAAAGTATAACCATTATCAATTGAAAATCGCATCTCTATGGTGACTACTCAAAATTAGAAAAATACCCCTTATAATAATATAAAATATTTTTTATATTTTTATGCCTAGTCCTGGTACACTATAACAAAGACACCGCACGCCGGCAAAAAAACCTGAAAATTGTTGGTGATGCCGCTAGGCTTTGTCACTTGCCGACAAAACTAAGCCGCTCTTGTTGACAGTGTGAGATATTCTCTTTAGAAGTGGACAAAAGTATAAAATTACACAGATAATTGAATAAAAATCAATTTCAAATTTGAATTTTTATTAAAGGAATAATAGTCCCATTCAAATATTTATATTTGATTTATTTTAATAGTTTAAAACGGAATTTTAAGGATTACCTACTATATGAATTTTGCCCATTTATTTAACGTATTAACTCCACTGTATTCTAGAGGTAAATCAGCTACAATTTCGGGGCAATGGCGTTCGTCATTTCAGTTTTTATAGAAATATCTGGAGTATGTTTATTCTTTATTAACCAATTTGTTTTCTATTGTCATGATAATAATATTTAGACGCCTATGGATTCCCACGTGACTTCAAAGAGATCAACTGAGCCGCCTTTTTTATGAAATTTCAATTAATAATGGTTAAACTTTAAATTAAATTTGAATATTCTTATTTCCCGTTTTTTTTTTCTTGTCTGTTTTCTTCTTTAGCCGGGACTTCATGTTATTTATCTTCTTTAAAAATTCTTAAGAAGTTTTTTTTTCCGATCATTTTTTTATATCGTTCAATTATCTCCTCTAAGCATTCTATGGGACTTTTGTAATACATTCAGCAGTAGTCCTCGCATCATCTCATGCATTTAATTTGTGTCATTGCTGGATTTGGTTTCTCGTGACAACCAGGTTAGTATCTTTTACTTCATTTCTTTGAAGCATAATGCTAGCAAGTAAACGGTATTCGTTATTCATATGATATGAAGTAAATGTTCCTACTTCTACCTTTTATTTAAAGCATACGCTTATACTGAAACCTTTTGCTTAGAATCAAATGCTCTATTTTTATTCATACGGCTGAAAGTATCACTCAACCTCTCCTCCCATATAAAAAAAAAATCATGTAATGGCTCTAGAGGGTTAGGGGAATGTTGCTCAGTAAAAAAAAAATTTTTTTTTTGAATTTCAAAAATATAAGCGGCTGGAATTATTATCTTGTATTTTGTATAAATAGAAGTTTAGAGGAGAATCTTTTTTTCAAGTTTACTTACACATACTTTCACGCATGTACACAACTAAAAACATACTCACACAATATACAAACACACTCAGTAACACATACATTTCACATAGACACATAAACACCAAAAACACAGAACATGTGAATATTACGTGAGTTAGTATCTACGTGCGTTTTTTTAGGGTTAGTATTCTAGATAGAGGTGTCCGAACGTTTTCAGCTAGCAATTTTTTTTTAAAGAGTTTCAGGGTGGACTGTTTTCCTTGGGACACCCTGTATAAATAGAACCGTTACAACAAAGAAGAAAAAATAATCTTAATATTGGCTTTTCTAGTGATTTTAGAACTTTTCTTTTACCTAGGTACCTTTCATTTTCCAATTTGGCATTAAATTCCCTACTATTACTTTCAGCAATCCGCATAAATAATGAGTTCACATCGAAACATTTGAAGTAGTTCATTAGAATATACGCAGTAATAATTAAACAAAACTTTGATCAGTAACTAACATTGCTGCATGAACAGAAAACAATTTTCAGCGGAATGAGATAGGATTGTTTAATCTGCTAAAGGAACTAATTTATTCAATTTAATAGTTTCAAAACTTACATGGTTACGACTTTTCATTAATCGATATTTTTTTTTACATACAGTGTGTCCCGCTTAAGAACTGATCACCCTTCTAAAAAATTTATTTTTCAACCGATTCAATTTTTTTTTTGTCTTATATCTACTCGAATTTGGCATTTATTAGGCCTATAATTTAATTTCTGCGGCTGTACTGGTGTACAGGCTGTCCACATTTATAGGCTCAAATTTCAATAAGTACTATTAGGGATTTTTTTAGAAAAAATATGATAGCAAATTTTGAGGATAACAAAACTTGATACAACAAAGTTTTAGAACATCCCTAACCAAAACTTGTAGCAAGCCTGTCTCAAAATATGACATTTTTGCAGTTTGATTCATTAAATTTCGAAAGTTTGTTGTGATCACCCTGTATCGTATTGAAACAAAAATTAGTACATTTAGGTTTTAGACCATTCTAAATAAGAATTCGCTATCAGATTTTTTCTAAAAAAATCCCTAATAGTAGTTATTGAAATTTGAGCCCATTAATGTGGACCCTGTACACCAGTTCAGCCACAGAAAAAAATTATGAGCCTAATAAGTGCCAAATTCGAGTAGATATAATATGACAAAAAAAAATAAAAAATAATCGGTTTAAAAATGAAAAAATTAAAAGGGTGGTCAGTCCTTAAGCGGGACACACTGTAGATAATAGAGCTCGCACCAAGGAGCAAAAAATGAGTGTTAGGTAACCGTGTTATCTATACCCTTACCAGTGAACGGCACTTTAGATTAATGAATTAGAAAACATACAATAAAGTATGGAGGAAGGTATGTAGGCGACCGTAAATCTGGAAATGTATACCCAATATCTTTTTACTTCTACTTAGCTCTTCAGAATGTCATACTCATACTATACGGAATTTATATAAGCAAATAAAAATTGAATTACATAACAATAAAATAAATATCAATAAGGGTTATCTTATTTGTTTCAGTTGTCTACTCGGCAAGCAATGGTCTGAAATGGGTACGAGTGAACGTACCTCAGTACCGAGTACCAGGTGAAATAGCTCAGCTGCAATGTGACTACGATTTGGGTAACGACAGCCTTTATTCAGTCAAGTGGTACAAAGAACATGAAGAATTTTATCGATACGTGCCAAAATCTCGACCCCAGTCAATATCGTATACAGTAGAGGGAGTGAATGTCGATGTAAGTACTTATTAATTTAATTTTTTCAAGAAAAAAGTTTATTGAATACCGATATCGTACACATTATGCCCGATCGATTGGAATAAACTTGCTAATGCAATTTTTGTAACGTGAGAATTCAACCAAAATTTGTTCAATTGATTGATGTAAATCCTGCGGCATCAAAAATCGATGTAGCCCAATTCCCTCTCCGGTCACATTTACCCGATCAGAGAAAAATTATTATGAAAGCAGACGGCAAAATAAAAGCTGCATTCCAGCTACGTGTCCCAAATTTTAATAATCTCTCGGATTCTTTGTCTTCGAGCCAACCCGGTATGGTGAAACTTGTTATCTTTTGGAGGAGAGCCTAATCTAATTTTCCCGAAAGAGAAGGGAGTGTGATATACCAGAAAATTGCGGAGATAATTAAGAAAATTTAGCCGGTCATTTCTTAATTAGAAATATTTGGACTGATTTATTTGTCTTCATTCCGAGTTATGTATAGGTACCTATTGCAACTTCCTAAATTAGGGTATTAGTTTATTTTGGTACCTATAACAAAATAATAAGGATTATGAAATACGTTTAGTAGTTTTAAAATAGTGTATTATGCAATGATCGTGTAATGATAGCCATTAATACACGAGCATGTTGTAGGATACGAAACGAGCCGCAGGCGAGTTTTGTATATAACATGCGAGTATATTAATGGCCATTCCATGAGAGTTGCATACACTTTTTTTTCTACTTGCATTAATAAACGAAAAACATATTTATTTTATAAGAATAGTGAACTTCTCAACTGGTGCCAATTGTTGACAACTTGACAATTTCAAAAATTAAGATCTATACGTCATTTGGGCATAAATTCTGCACCCGATTTATTAATTTTTTGTTGTTTCTTTTGGTAAATACTAATAGAAATAATCCAAAACGAGTCTCTTATTTTTATACAAACATTATTCATGTTCAAAATAACTCGATTCCAGTGGTTGAAAAATCTGTATCATAATGGAAATCTGTATCATAATGAAAATCTGTATCATAATGAAGTTCATTATGAAACAGATTTTAAATCGTTTAATAGCGTATTATGAAACGTCAGTAGAAAATAGTACATTAAAATACAAGTTTCATAAGACGTCATTTTATCGCACGAGCCCTATATTAGAAAACGAGCCGGAGGCGAGTTTTCTAAAGGGCGAGTGCGATAAAATGTCTTATGAAACCAATATTTTATACCATTTTTTCTATTTTGGAATTGTTTAATTAAAAAAAAAACAAATTTCTCTTGGAATTTTATTCTCATATTTCCTGATTTCATAGTTTAGGTTGGTAACACTACATGCCAACTATAGAAATCTTCTATTATAAAATCGCGAATGACAGTTCGATGGCCATCAGTCAGCCAGTGTTACCAACCTCCGATAAGTAAAAAAGCAGTGTCACAAAGAGCTTCTTTTCGAAACTACTTTTAGTGTCGAAAAGACTTCGATATGACACCAAAATAGAAAAAAGTATGTATCTACCCATTTTTTTTTTGCTGATACAAAATCTAGGATTTTTTTTTTTTTTTTTTTTTTTTCAATAATTATCCCCTGGAAGTTTCTTTACTCAAGCTTGTACCTCCTTTAGTTTTATCACTTTTTCTTACTTTTTTTGATATTTATTATTGTTACTTAATTTTGTTAGTTTATCAGTGTACCGTATTTATGTAGGTATTTTTTAATATTAATTTATACGATTTATACGAAAAAATTGAGGAAAACCACCTATTTAAAATATTATTTCTTAAAATCTTTTACTGAATAAAACTAAATGTCGCAACCATGTCTACGCCATCAAGTTTAGGTTTGAACGGGGCGCGCTACAGAAAAACGAAAGTACCGAAGCGAAGGGTAGATAGGGAATAGGCAAAGAGACTACAGAACGCGCTGGACTGGTCCCTTAGAAAACGTGTCGCGTGTCTGTAATTATTCATTATTCAATTTTCATTTCGATTTTGCAATAAAATTGATTGTTCAATCCAATTTGTTATTAGTGTGTGTGTAAGAAGAGTTCACAGGTTAGTGGATTAAATGTTATTTTGTTTTTGAGTGTTCAATTTATGCAAGTTCCTATTATTTTGTTCATTTTTATGTATTTTTTTGTTTGTTTATAACATTTTTTATAGCATGTGCATTGTTCATGTATTTAACCAAAATCGTTTAATACTGTAAACAACACAGAAGTAAATTAAAACCTAAGAAATTATGTGCTGATATTTTGATTTTGTGGATTTAGAGCGTGTATTAGGGCCTTGTTGAATTTACTAACATTTTCCTACCCTGACGAGAGAATATCCTAACAAATTGAAATAATCAATCTAGAGGTATTGGCTCAAAAACAACTATAGCTGAGTAGCTTCCCGTATGGGACCTCAGTATCCGCTGGGAAACTGCCTAACTAGCCAAAAACTCTTCAGTATTGAATATAGGTAGTGTTGATTGAATCTAGTGTGTGTAATTGAAATTTTAGCACAAGAACAAAGGATGGTACCTAATTTAAATTTTTATTGACTTAAATTATTGAATTATTGACTCAAAATTATTATTAAAATTACACAGTATGTTTCGATTTTTGAGGAATGTTCGATCGAGGGTTCCTGGATTTTTTATGTCATTTTTGGAAAGAGAATTAAGGGCGCTTCCTAAAAATGACATAAAAAATCCAGGTCCGAATTTAAAAAAATGAAATTGATGATGGTATCTCGATCACGAAACGTCGGATTTAAAATTTGAAGATGCCATGTTGTATAGCGAAAAAAATTATAAAACTTTCAAATTTAAATTGTGTCTCAAAAATCAATAGTTTTCGAAATAAATGATAAAATATTTTTAGACGTTTCTTAGAAATCACCATGTATTTCATAAACTAAAAGAAATTTGGCAACACTGTAAAAGAGTCTTGAATGGGAATCAAACAAGGCAACTTTTTTCTAATTTAACCGACCCTGTAGCTCTTACCGTTTCGGATATAGCAATAGTGGTATCACTTAAAATAAACACCCTGTATAAAGTAGACGTTTCACAAATTTTTCGTTTCTTTTATATATCACAACTTCCCTTAAATTTCCCTAATCTTGCCACGCTTTTTCGCTGATTAAAAAAAAAAAGTTTAGGAAAAAAAAAATAAAAAAATAAATAAAATAAATAAAAAATAAAAAAACAAAGTGAAATTTAATAAAGGACTTGAAATTGTACGACTGAAGGTCGAAGTGCGTGCAAATTATGCCTTAGCTCAGAACTAAACAATTCGGAGAGTAGGGGTGGGTTTTTAGTTTTGGGCGCCACCGACTCTGGACAGATGAGTCGGACTCTCTAGGATGGTATCTGGCTCCAGGTCCTCACAATTCAAATAATAATAAAGAAAAAAAATTTAGCTAAAACCAGGCTGTGTGCATAAAACCGAATAAAAGTGAATAAATCAAGTGCTATAAGGAATGAGGAGTGCTATAGTATGTTTATTTACCAAATGGCCGCAGTCCACAATGAACAATATATATTGAGATAGTAATTAAAAAAAAAAAAATAATGAAGTAAATTTTTCAATATTATCAAAGAAAACTATTAGGAAAAGAAACTAGGAAAAAAAAACTATTTAATAGAAAGAATAAAATCAGGTTATGTCTAGTTAAGTTACCTATTTAATAATTCATTTGCCACATTGGGGCAAGCAATGAACTACTCCCTGAAATATCGTTAGTGATCACTGAGGTCTACAAATAGGGACAGAATGTAAATAAACAATAATAATATATATAGGTTAACTAAAACTAATACAATACCAAAATGTTCCAGGTGATAGTGGTTGATACAATTAACCAGATTAGTCCCGGCTACTGGTTGCGGTTAGGTAGTCGAACCAATCTTACGGTTCAAATTTACGGTCCAGAAGGCTTGGATAACCAAATACTTCGGCTGGTGTCTGATAGCCTTTAGTTCAATTTCGGTTACAATTGAAGGTGTATTGTTGTAACCGTGAGTGAAAACTCGGTGGTAAAAGAACCCTCGAAAGAACCCTAAGAGAAAAACTGTTATACACACTGTATTTGTAATTGAACCATATCGAAGCACTTCATGAATAGATTGAATTAGAAAATCAAACTATAATGTAACTCAATTAGTTTCCAATAGCAAATTTACTTGATAAAAAGACTATAGCTCTTGAAAATTATTTTATTAGAAAAATTGAACAATAATGTATTGAATAATTGAATTAGATGAAATCATAATAAAGAAAATGTGCCTCGAGTTTGCAAAAAAAAAATTGAAGTAATAAGGTTATGTTTTTATGTGTTGGAAATAGGGTTTGTTTGCCTCGAAAATCTCTGGAAATTTGGATCGAAGTCTGGATTGGATATCCTGGAGTGAGTGAGATGATACTCTACTCTTTAGGGTAGCTTTTAACTAATGATTAAATTGAAAAAGTCAGAATCTATTGTGGGAAAAAAAACGTGTGCAACTTACCACATGGAGTTGTAAAATTCCGAATTAATCGGCGAAAATTATAACACTACGAAAACGTAAGGCAAAAGGCAAGTAAATGTGTTATAAATTCAATTGAGAATTTAAGGTCAAAATCCCACAAGTGCGAAGTGCAAATTAAAAGACCTTATTTCTCCAACGTCCAGATGTGAAAAGAAATGTGCTACACATAAGATTAATAGGCTAACCTAAAGGGCGGAATTCAGACTCAGAGATGATTCAGAATAACGACAAACGTCAAAAATTAATCGATAGAATTCTCACTTACCAAAAATTGCACACAACAATACAAACCGAGAAAAGTGACAACGGCTGACGAATAATGATATTAACAACAAATAATTATCCCATAAAACAATCATAGCTTGAAGAATACAACATAGAGTAAGTGATCCGTTTGCAAAATAAGAGGGCTTAAAAATGAATCGACGATACTAAAAACATTACCACTAATCGACAGCCCGTTGACAGAATTAATGACACTTCAAAAGTCAAAAAACCGAAAGCAAGGATAGCGCAGAAAATATCTCAAAGACCATCGAACCAATGATTGACCCGGCCTTCACTAGAACTTGCACCGAGTTCAATACCTCATTAACCGAACAGAGCGGTTCGGTACATACACTTGAGAACGGATAACCCCAAAACAAATATTTTTGACAAATGAATATTTATTTCTTTATGAAAATCAGATGGTAGAATTTCAAATTGGAATCAAAATATTGATTTGTTTTGATTTTGAAATTGAATTAAAATATGGATTAAAAACGAGGAAAAATCATTACAGCAAAGGAACTAGTAACAAATGAAAATAGAATTTGACTATTGAAAATTAGGAAATTTACAGGATCCGCAACCGTTGAGATTGTTGTTGAAATTTTATAGAGAGAAAATGTTGACAAACTTAAGGGAATTTTGAATAGAAAACTGAAAGTAGGTAAGAATCAGTTGTGCAATTTTGGCCTATTACAATATTTGCTATGTCAGGCGCATGTCCAGTAAGTAAAATTGAGTAAGTTTCCACAACGTAGGTCCTATTTGTTTTTCATTTCATTTTTCAGAATATTTGTTGTTTAAAAAGTAATAAAAATTCTCATCATGCCAGGCATTTTCATAGGTATTGGAATGTAAAAAATTATTTTAAAAAAGCCCCTATTCTAATCTATGACTTTTTGTGTAGGTATCTCAACTTCGTACGAATAAAAGACTTTTTCAATTGCAGATGACTAAGTCAGATAGCAGGAAAGTGGTCCTTCATTCCGTGAACTGGAGGACTAGTGGATTCTTCAGATGTGAAGTGTCAGCTGAGGCGCCATCTTTCGCCAGCGCACAAAGCGAGGCTAGAATGGAAGTTGTCTGTGAGTCTGAATAATTTGCCCAGTTTTAAGTTTATTTGCCTTTTTGTATTTCAATTAGATAGGTTGGTACTTCATTGGCTGATTGGTAAAATTAGGATACCTACATTTTAATATCAAACATGTTTTCTATCAAATAACCAAAGTTTTATTTCTTTGCTTTGATGTTTGCGTGTTCTAATTACATTAAAAAAAGTTCAGTAGTTTGTTATTTAGGCGATATAAAATGATATTTGAGAAGTCATAAAATATATTCCCGGTGATGCAATAAACACTAAAGGTATATTTGAATTGCGTGATGCAAACAAAGAGAGGGAGAAAGACCGCGGTACGGTAATAAAAATAAAATTATAACAATAGACGATTAAATACTTTATAGCAATGAACCGCTAGTGTGCATGTTTATATTCACATCAATTATTTCTTTGGGTGCACACGGAATTTTACGTGCCTCACTTATACATGAGTCTATGTTAAATTAATTTTGAATAAAATTTTTTAATAAAAAAAGCTGATGTGGATAAGGAAAATGTGGTCAAAATATTAAAATTAATTATAATAGGTTTTCATGTCATAACAACTTTTTAATCGAAAACAATAAAACTCCCTTTATGTTGTATCGATATTGGATAGGAGCTTTTATCGAGGCTGAAATTGGATATAACAATTTAACATAGAAATATGAGTAGGGAGAATAAGGAATTTCATCGTCCTACATACTCTAAAAGACCTCTAAAATTCCAGTTTTGACATTAGAACCAAGTGAGGGATGTCGGAACTCGTTATACGCAGTTCTAAAATAAATTTACGAAAAATTGAAGTTATTTTTTAAAATAATTGCATTAACTGGTGCAAACTTCTTTAAAATTTTTGCATAATAGAGGCATTTCAAAAATAATGATTTAATGTTTTTCACACAATAGTCATAATTTACTTACAGGCTTTTTAGGTTTTTGCACGAATTATGTACTGAGAAATTTAAATATCGCAATTTTCCTGTCAACTTTTTCCACTAAAAAAAAATGGTCATAAAATGTATGGCGATGAGGCTTGAAAGAAAAAAAGCATGTGCAGCACGCGCAACTATCCCCCCTTATACACCTTTTAAACTTAGCGTATGAGTCAGGGTAAAGACGAAGGATTCAAAATGGAAACGCGCAATGCGCATCTGTAGGTACGATACAAGGGTATTGAGGCTTAACAATAATAGACAATCCTCTTTGCATTTGCTTATAATTCCTGGATTGTGTCAACCGTTTGTCGGCTGTCATTGTAATTGGCTGTCTTTCTCCGTCTTTCAACGTTATATCTTTTTTTTCTCCCGAGTAACGAAATTTGGCACAACGTGACGCGTCTTTCAAATCACTCTCCATTCTCGTCCAAATTCCAAAATGGGATTTTTTTGAATTCTTTGGCATTTCTCGGAATACTACATACGGAACAGTTAGAGTGCTCGAAACAGATAAAATACTCCTGCTCGTACCACTAATTCCAAAAAAAAAGTACAAAAAATTTCAAAAAATGCTAAAAAATTCCAAAATGGAATTCGTTGGCATTTTTTGGAATTTTTTCGAATTTTTTGGCATTTTCCGGAATTTTTCATTTTTTGGAATCTTTCATACGAAACAGTTACATGGATGGCTCGAAACAGATACAGTGCTCGTGCTCGTATGTACCACTATGTAATTCCAAAAATAAGTACAAAAAATTCGAAAAAACTGAAGTTTTTAGAATTTTTGGAATTTTTTGGCAGTTTTTGGAGTCTTGCATACGGAACAGTTAGAGTACTGAAAACAGATTCAGTGGTCGTGCTCGTATCAGAATTCCAAAAAAAAAAAAAAATCCAAACATTTTTTTGGCATTTCCCTGAATTTCTTGGCATTTTTTGGAATTTTTTGGCATTTTTTGGAATCTTGCATACGGAACAGTTAGAGTACTCGAAACAGATACAGTGCTCGTGCCTGTACCAATAGTTCTAGAAAATTCAAAAAAATGCCAAAAAATTTCAAAATGGAATTTTTTGAAAATTTTTGTGGCATTTTTTGGAATAACGAGTCGGGGTAAAAGACGAAGAAAAACGCGCATCTGTAGTGACGTCACAAGGGTATCGGCGCTTGACAATAATAGTCTATAATCCTTGGTTTGTTTGTGTCAACCGTTCGTCGGCTGTCATTGTCATTGGCTGTCTTTCTCCGCCCCTTTACGTTATATTCTTCTTCTCTCTCGTGAAATGAAATTCGCCAGAACGTGACGCGTCTTTCAAATCACTCTCCATTTTCGTCAAAATATCAGACCGCCGCCTAAAAAGTTCACTTCAAAAATCACAGGACACAAATGTATAAATAACGAAAATAATCACTAAACACAATAATAATAGTAAAAAAAAAGGCGCGCATCTGTAGTGATGCCGAAAAGTTATCGGCGCTTGACAATAATAGGAAATCCTCTTTGCGCTTATATTCCTTGATTTGTGGCAATCAATAACTGTTTTTCTCCGCCTCTAATATCATTCTCGATAATATTATTTTAATATACTTGCATAATGACGATATACAGATATAATCAAAAAAAAATTACAGCACGCAAATGTGTAAATAGCTGAAAGAATCACAAAACACAATGATTAGTATAAAAAAAGGAAGACGCGCATCTGTAGTGACGTCACAAAGGTATCTGCGCTTGGTTTGAGTCAATCAATAGCTATCTTTTTTCGTCTCTACGTTATATCTTTCTTCTCTCTCGAGTAACGAAATTTGTCCGTGACGCGTTTTTCAAATCACTCTTCGTTGTCGTTCAAATATCAGACCGCTGCCTAAGAAGTTTCACTTCAAAAATTTCGTTTAGGTAGGTACATACATACTTCAATGTGGTCTTTTTTTTTTGGTAGACTAATAAATATGACGTTTCGACACATTCATATGTCTGTACTGTGTTGCTGTGTTGTAAATTAGTTAATCGACTCCACTTTGCTGTTTCTACTTTCATAATCTCGCTCCTTGCATGAATTGCTTAATTACCCAATTGACCCCAATATTTTTGTTAGTTCTCTGGCATTTCTAAATGCTGGTAAATCCCCATATAGCTAGCTTTTTAATGGATTTTTCCGCCTTCTTATCGTCTCATGGCTTAATTTATTAGTTCTCAATATTCTGTTAATTGAGTCGCACAGATTTTATTTTTTATGTGAATGGCTCATGGTTGGATTGGAGATGGTTCGGAGATAATAGGCGTATTTTAGCAAGAGTTTTAACCCAATAGTATGTTGTATTTACCTGGGATACTACATTTTAGCGATCATGGCTGACATGCTATGACGTCACAACATAAAACACAACATATTATCCGTTCACAATCCGATGTCCACAGGTAGGTACAGGTAAAATCACCTTTCAATGGTATTTGATAGGGAAAGATGATAAATTTACCTGCACCTGTGGACATCGGATTGTGAACAGGATATAAAACTCAACTGTAAACAAGTGACCATCCTACGAGGAATAGTTACTGGTTGTAGTATGTCAGCACATCTTTTTCTAATACACGAAAATGAGCATATGGGCAAAATAGCTGACTACGATTACCGACACAGTTCTTTCCATTATAAATAGAGGATTGTTTTCCCCATTTTGCCATGGTTTTCTTTGATTTTATTAGAGGTTTTTGCAATTTAAAAAATTTTCACTTGTGCACAAAAGTGTATTTTATTTTTTTTTTGGCATGGGGTCCCAATAAAATTCAAAACTACCACAATCTATCGAAAATATTCGAAAATCTTCACTGGAGAAATAATATTGAAACTCGAAAACGTAAAATTTTGTAAAATTTAACAAATCCAAATAAACAACGATCATGGCGTCCTCTTTTAGACCCTTTGTCAAATACGTCATGAATCGTAGTATATGTAGTATGATGTTCACTGGTCGCTAAAATACGCCTATTATTGGTAGGCAATTGAGATTTAGATAGCGGAGGTTTTCGCTATCTAGAGCTGTAGACGAGTTTCTTCCTTCAGGATTTTAACATTAAAATATTTACAGCCTCTTTTCAAAAAAAGAAACTTTTCAGCTTTTTCTAAATATCTCAAAAATGTGAATAGCTAGACTCAACCTGCAAACACTATTGAACGTCTTACATAAATGTCTTAAACTTTTTTAATTTCAATATTAATATAGTTTCCTTTATCCTAACTTCCCATCAATTTGGGACACACTGTATAATAGAGGGCTTGCTTGCCTGTTGGGCTTGCCACAACTGACTTTTCGACTTTATAACCTAAATAAAAAAAACGTATCCAAGTTCTTGTTACTATAATCAAAACTTTTATTACCCATATAAGACCAGTACCTATTGTTATGTAGGCCTCTAAACTTTATGGACTATCAAAAATGTTTACGATATTATTTGGCGTTACCGAAGACAAATAGTCATAAAAAAAAATTATGTGGCAGTTTTCAAGATTTCGCATTAAGAAACAGAAACAAAATGATCTAGCATTGACAATGTCCATTTATGCGAAAAGGCGTACAAAAAGGGCAAACCATTGTAATTTAAATTGAAAAAACTCACTAACAAATATAAGGGCGCTGTGCCTCTAAGTAGGTACCTATTATTTTTTTACAGGGACTTGAGAGGGCGTCATAAAATAATGCTTCAAATTGATTTTGAGATTCGAAAGGGTTGAAAGGTGGAATATAAATTTTGTATGAGGCACTACTGACATCTTTTAACAGAAACAACAGAGGGTGTTTTGGAGGTTTCAAAATATCAATAAAAGTAGGGTAGGTATTATTTTTCTCGATATTCTGGAAATAGTGCAACTACAGGGTGTTCTAGAATGATTTGATTGGTTTTGCGATTGGTAGTGGATGAAAATTTGAATATATTGTCGTATCTAGGATAATAGGGGCCTCTCCCTTCGGTTAATCAAACCCAATGGTCTTCCAAAAAAGGTTTATGGGTTTCAGGAAAATCATTGATCACGTCACGTTTAAATAACATTCGGT